CATCGGCATGCAGCACCTTCTGCCAACATGTCTGCAGCTGTTCAATGCCCTTGCGTTAGAACTCAGGGCGTTTTGATGCAAAGAAGTCTGTGAGGGCTTTGCACAAGTCTGCTTCATTTGTGAAGGATTTCCCATGAAGATGATTATCGAGGGAGTGGAAGAGGTGGTAATCGGATGGCGCAAAGGTCAGGTGAATAAGGTGGATGGCACAAAGTTTCCCACCCAAGTTGCTGTACGGTATCCCTGACCAGTCGCACGACATGTGGCCTGACATTGTCATGGAGGAGAAGCTCACCTTGGCGATTCACCAGTGCTGGCTTCTGGTGCAATGCCTGTTGCACATATTTCAATTGCTGCGAGTATCGGTCTCCAGTGACCATTTGGCCCGTTGATAGCAGTTCATAATAAACCACTTGACAACCTGTCCACCAGACACAAAGCATAATCTTGCATGGGTGCATAGGCGGTCTTGTGGTGTGAGGGACAACATCCTGAGGAGACAGCCAATGTCTGGAACGCTTGGGAGTTTCGTACAGAACCCACTTTTCATCACTGGTAGGCACTCGACTGAATAAGGACGCGGTATGGTGGCAAGAAAGCAGCGATATGCAGGCTGCCACTCATCCCTTGTGGAACTCCAACAGCATTTGTGGAACCCACTTGCTCAGTTTGTATGTCTTACCTAGGAAGAGCAGGTGAAGTCTAATTGTTTCATTGGAAAAGTTGAACTGTCTTCACCACATGTTAGACTACTGTCCTCTTCAATGGCCCCCTTCAGGACTCTGTCATTCAAGCCCTGTGGTTGTCCACTGTGAGACTCATCATGGAGAGATAAATCTCTTGACTTGAATTTTCAAAACCAACGCCTTGCAGTACATTCATCTACAGCACTATCCCCAAACGCTTGACATATGCAGCGACTTGATGCAGCAGCTGATAAGCCCACTTTGAAGTCGTAAAGCAAACAAGACATGAGATCTCTAGACACTTCCATCTTTTCTCACAGCTGTCCGACTTATAACTGATGGCCGGGTACAGTACGCATGTTTTTTATAACGTCTGATGTTCCTACTTCTGGCTGTCTGAATTTGAAAATAATTGCTACATGCATTTTGTATATATTTGAACTTCATTCAATGACTAATCAAAAAAATGGACTGAACTTTTTGGTTACCTTATAGAATCAATTCTAGTAATTTAGTCAAATTTTGGAGAATGGGGTAAGGTCAAGAAGCTTTCACCCAAACACCTATATAATGTATTTTGTTTGTTTGTTTTTTTAAATAAATTTTTCATTTTAGTTCTGAGAAGTAGTTCCAAATATATTTGGACAAGGGCAAGGTGTCATCTGGCTTGATGATCTTAATTGTACTGGCTCAGAAGTTGAACTTGAAATTTGTTCCAATCTTTCTTGGGGAAAGCATAACTGTGGACACAATGAGGATGTTGCCATTAAATGTTTCAATGTAGTAAATACACTTGGAAGTATAACTCCAACTTCATCAACAGACCAAAATGGTAAAGTAAACTGTTTTTTTTGATTACCATATTTGATGACATATAAGGCACACTTTTTTTTTCACTAAAAATATCTTTTAAAATTCCCCAGCATTTTATATGTCATATGAAGGTTTAAAATTTGTGATAGTTGATATTAACTACATGACAACTCCTATTTGCTAATACTTTAGAGTAACTTTCATATACCTATTGTCATTATTTAAAAGGCTATTATGCAAATTAAAAGTGTTACCATTGATAATATACATTATATTTTTTTAATCACATTTAATAATAGTACTTTGTTTCACTAAAATTATATGCAATAACTTCAAATTACATATTTGTAAAATATATTTGTTTCATTAGTATTTTTCTTGCGATAACTTCCGGCTGTATTGATATAAATATAATCAGAATTTTATATCCTAATTATTCCAATATGATGTTTACAATATGTAGGTTGTACAGATTATATAAAGGATTTAAATAACAAAGTTTTTATAGGCTCATCTTTTATATTTTTCATTTAATTGTGATTACAGCTTGTTTAACCAAAATAATACCTCATAAATATAGCCTAGGCTTACTCAGATTTTCATAGAACAACAATCATCAGGCTGATATAATCTGGAACCAATAGCTATAACATGATTTATATACTCCAGGGGGGGGGGGTATTTAGTAACTCGGATGTATAATTTTAATTAAGTACTTATTCTTATGCTGATATGTGGCTATAAGCTTGTGTCTCTTATTCAACAGCCAGTCACCCTTTTGCCATAGGATTATCAATTTTTCACTTAGCCACAAATTTCTGCCTTCTCCAACTCCGTTATATGTTTTGGCTTTAGCCAATATTTTCCATGCTATAGTTGATGATTCTCTTCCATTGCTAATGGTATCCAGATAGTAGGCAGAAAGAGTAGTGCGACCTTTGTATTTTCTGTTTAAAAGTGAAGTCTTGATTATTTTAATTATACATTTATCCTTATATTTTTCTTTGTTTATTATATTATAATTCTTATTATATTAGTATGAATTTATAGTCTTTAATTATTAAAATACATATTTCTTTTCTTTGTTTTTAAGATAAATCAAGGTATGCATCAATTGAAAAAGTGTTTTAGCACTCATTAAGAATTATTATATTACGCACAATTTTTGTTAAATTACTTACCCATCTGCATGAATAATTTTACTCTATTTTTAATATGGAAGCCTAACATTTTTCTTTTTTAAGAAAGATGACATAATTTTCAAAATTGTAAGAAAATCATTTTGAGTCATAATGTTTGCTTTGTTTATCTTTGACTATTGCTTCATTATCGTAGATTTCTTTCCTTATCATTTATCATTCAAATGTTTTAAAAATTAAACAAGATTTGCCAATAGTTTTATTCTTTTATACTTTAATTTATTGACTGTAAAATATGTAACATAACATTTTTATAGATGCAGATGCATTTTCAAATTTATAGGAAATATGTTTCATGCCATTTCATTTTATTTACTTCATTATCTTTTTTCTGTTTTATTTTTGTTTTTTTTTTAATATTGGTTCAGTATAGTTAATTTCACCTCTATTTTTCATCTGGTAAATATTTTTAACAACAGGAATAATAAAAAATGTTCTCATATAATTGATGATGATTTTATACTTTTAATTTTTTTTATTTATTGTTTTGTTTCTATTATTGTCCATAAACAAAGTAACATTTGATAACAAAGTGTTTATTCTGACATCCAGTATAAAATATATATGTGTGACTATATGTATAACTCTAATGGTCACTCCATATTGTGATGGAAAAGCTTTCATAGTCTAATATCACTGAGATCAATGCCATCAGGAGTTTTAAACTCCTGCTAGTGCCACTCTTGGCAGCAAGATCAAAGACAAAAAACTCAAGAGTAAGTGAAACTAATCCCAAAGATCCCAACAGTTTAATCAGCAGATGAAGACATGCTACAGAAGGCAGCACTTCAAATTATAACATAGTTAGCAGCAGTCTATTGCAGTTTCATGGATTCAACATGACTCATTCCATATGTGCTGGCAAGGAATGTCACGAAATCAGGTATGTGGGTCACTTGCTGGCAAATTGAGGTCCACCTGAAACAAATTCATGCCATCATCACATTCTTCTACTCTTCTTTTTCTTTCATCTTCAACCAACTGTTGCAAAACCAAATGGTGATAGTGAATGGATGACGAAAGCAGGTTTTGGTAAAACTGGAAGCTTCTAACCATGAACCTGCACCTGAGTGGTGAATGTTGTCATCATCACCATCACCTTTAGGAAGTGTTCAACAAAGAAGAAATTAAATTCTTGGATACAAGATAAAGTTGGCAACTGAAAAGACCATCATTAAGATGAATTAATTTTCTTCAATTTCCGTCTTATCATTGTTTCTCAGGTGATCAAGATTTTCTCCTACAATATCTTTCTTATTTCTTTCTGTTTTTGCCACCTGAAAAGAAATAAACAATTGCAAATCTCCAGTTCCTAAGATTAAATGGATGCATGAATTTTCATAGGTCCCACTTTCTTTTTGTGTTTTCTCTTTTTCTCTGCAGCCATCAGAATCCAGCTTGTTGGTGGCTCATCAGATATCAGTGGTAGACTTGAAATTACTCGTGGGGGAACAATAGGAAGTGTCTGTGATGATGAATTTGATGACAATGATGCAAAAAGTTATTTGTAGAATGATGGGATACAGGTAATTTTGAATTTTAATATTTTTTATATTTTTTCTTTAGATAAATAAGTAATTATATAATGCAAATAATGAGTGCAACAATATTGTTTAGAAACTCAAATCATTTCTACATATGCTTACCATTGTTAAAATATTTTAGCTGATCCATTCTCCAGCCCTTATAAGGTGTAATCTCTGAGCATCAACTTAACCATTTCTCAATAAAATATGATAAGTGTAGAGTGGGCAAACAGTGCATTTCTAAGCAAAGGAATCCTTGTACCATTATCTTTTTAATTTCTATTTGCCCCTCTAACACAACCTTTTAAATGTCTGATATATGTCATTTTATTGAGCTCTCTTACTCCTTAAATTGATGCTCCCTATTATCTGCACCTCATCCCATAGAATGTAATTTGCCCCAGGCTAGGGGATCAATTCTACAAATATAGCCTCTTCCATGTCCTATCGACACAACTGAACAACCATTGCTTATTGTCAACACTAATTTTACAAAATCACTTGAAATATTTTTCATGTGTTTAATTTTTATAATAATTTTAAAATTTAAGTCTAGATTATTCTCATCTGATTGAAGAAGTGACTTCAAAATCAATTCAGATTTTCAAAAATAATTCAGACTAAGAATTTACAGTCTTTAATTCCATAATGTAATTTTTTAAAGATAAATTTTGGATTTCAGTACTGGAGAAGAAATTCCAAATATATTTGGAGATGGGGAAGGTGTCATCTGGCTTGATAACCTCAATTGTGCTGGATCAGAATATGGAGTTGAAATGTGTCCCAATCTTTCTTGGGGAAAGCATAATTGTCAACACTCTGAGGATGTTGCCATCAAATGTTTCAAAAAAGGTAAATACAACCTTATCATTAGCCACAAATATACCTCCAACTTGAACAACAAACCAAAATTGTAAGTCAGCTGCTTTTCAGATTAATTCATTAATTCCTTCTGATTTTTGTCCTTTAACAGAGATATTCAGCAGTAAGTAAACAAAGAAGAGTTGATATGTCAGTAAATTAACCATCCTCACCTTTGAAACTGATGTAAGGAAACAGCTTATCTCTTTTTGTTGAAAGAATTGTTGTTAGAATAATAAAATTCAATAATCTAAGAGCAAACATATGTCCAAATCAAAAAATGAATTTGTTTTTAAAAAGAAAATTCGAATAATAAAATTCAATAATCAAAGCAAACTATTAAAAAAGAATGAATACTCATAGAATCAGTTGAAAAAGGTAATTGTGGATTTCTTTATTGTGTAATTTATATGCTCTGTTATAGTAAATACATAAATCTCTTTTTTTGTGGGTCAGTTCTAATATTTTATATTATTAGGATCCACTTTAGATGATATACCAACTGATTCAGTACCTGTACTTTATATACATATATAAAGTTTTCATTTTATTCTTAAATGTTATAATTTTTATGACAGTTTCTAACAACCTCTATAAGTCTTAAACCTGGGTATAAATTGAATTTAACCCTTTAAATGCTTTTCCACATTCAGCCAGGTTTATGAAACAATTTTTTTTACTTCAAACTGTATTTTTCTTGAATGCTTCATATTGCATTCTATATTGTATTCTGTTGCAGCTCAGTTGCCATAATGACATCTGCTCTCTCACTGTTTGATGTATCAGTGAGTTGAAGGAGGAAGGGGTGATGACTTTGCTCTGCTTCTGCCTATGAGGCACCTCTCTGCCAAAAATGCACACATTCATTATTTTATGCATGGCTAAACCCCCAAATGTCAGGAGAAGACTATATAAGTGCAAGGGTAAAATAAGTTGCCACTTCTTACCTTTTGCCAGAAAATCTATTTTTTATTTCTAAAATCAGATGGAAATTAAACATCTGCTGCATTTTATCACTTGTATACATTATTTTTAGTTCTAAAATAAAATACAGTGTATCAATAAAATAAATGTACATATATAAATATGTCAAAATGTTTATTTTGATTATTTTCATTTTAATTTCCAACATATCTATGGAAATTTAAGAAAGAACCTGTAACAGTAAACTTAAACAATTACAAGTTTCATAGAGCTATGGCTTGTAAAGCAGTGAAAGAAGCCAAAAAAGAATGTTGGTAAAAATATGTCAACAACCTAAACTCAAAATCAGTATGAGAAATGTTTACGTCAACAACTTGAAAATACTAAACTATACCTATGAAGGATCTTTTAAAAAATAACAACATCATAACCAATAAAAAAATGACATAGTAGATGCACTAGCTGAAACTGTTTTAAAAATTGCTTGTGCTCATCAAAATTCCTAGTTCTAAAAGAAAACACAGAAAAATATAAACTCAGTTTTACATCTAGCAACCCAGAAAGCCCAGTGGTGTAGTTAAGGTGGGGGTGGGGGAAGTGGTGTGGACCGCCCTGGGTGCCAGCACAGGAAGGGTGACACAATGTCACCTCCAACAAAATTTTTCAACCAGGCTAAGGTGCCAAAAATATTCTAAAAACAGTGGTGGAGTAGCATATGACCCCCAGTTTTGTCCCCCATCAGAAATTTTATAATAAATTGTTGAAAAATTTTTAGGAAAAAGATAGCAATGTTTTCAGCTTTCGTGTGTTTCAGTTGCTACAATCTTGGTCCAATCTTGGTTAACAAGAGACATTGTTGTAACATTTATCGGATAACTGAAATTTTATCGGATATTTTAACTCTGCATCATTAATAACAACAAAGCGAAATATGAAGTCAAAAGTGCAACAATTTCAGTCAAATATTTTTCATGTGTTTAATTTTTAAATTAAAGTAGAGGTATGGCATGTATGAAAATTAGCTACAACTAACCATTCAGCATAGGGTGAATCGGGGTCATTGGGGGGACATTTGAGCGGACCGCCCCAGGTGACGTTTATACTAGCTATGCCACTGGCTACAACAACCCTTTGAGTTTAACAGAATTGACATCATCAATAAAAAGATACCATAACACATCAGTTGGATCTGATGAAATCCACTATGAATTCCTAAGATAATTATCAGAAGAATCCTTAAAACTTCTAAAAAGATACAATAATATGGAGATAAACAGTAATTTCCTGAATAGGTGGAAACAACCAAAGAAGTAGATACCATATGATTCTAGTACAAAAAGGAAAATCAATAATATCAAATGAGGAAAAAAAAATAGCTGATAGCATATGATTGCATACCAAAAATACATAGTTGAGGCCATATAACTGAGTATAAAAGAAGATACAATTTAGATATTAAGCAATTTAAGTCTGTCTTAAGTTTTAAATTATACATTAGGGGTTAAGATGTAAAACAAAACTAACCAACCAACCCGAGATATGTTGAGAGATTCTTGTTCAAATAAGAATCTGCAATATTATGTTTCCTTTTATTTTTCTCACTCCTTAAGAATGTTTTCCTTTTCTTATTCTTTCACACAGAGTAACTAACCCCTTGTGTTTTAGTGACTTCATTCCCTTGTTTGCAAGAAATGAGTAAAAAGGAAATGTGTTAATTTTCACAGGTTTCACTTACTTTTTCTGTTACGTCTTTCTCTCTGCAGATGTCAGAATCCAGCTTATTGGTGGCTCATCAGAAATCAGTGGAAGAATTGAAATCACTCGTAAAGGAGTCAAAGGAACTGTCTGTGATGACCACTTTGATAACAATGATGCAAAAGTTATTTGTAGAATGATGGGATACAGGTGATTTTGACTTTTAATTTTTTTTTTACATATTTTATTTAGAGAAACAAGGTATTAGATTATGAATGCCATGGCTGCAACAGTTTATTACCTTCAAAATTGTTGGATCACTGAAAGCACTTCTTTATATGCTTATTATTGTTAAGATAAGGTTTTGATTGATCCGTTCTCCAAACATCTCAGGTCTAACTCTCCAGCCTTCATTAGGTTTAAACCATTAGAACAAAGGAAACCTCTTCCTCAAGAGAATAAGAAATTAGCTACAAAAATTACCCATGTATATATCCACTTATTTGTTCTATTTCTGTAGCATTAGATACTTCAAGAAACACATATGGTAACTTAATACAATATGTGGGGTCACTTCCCTAACCATTCATTTGTAAGCATCTTCTTCCTGGTACTGTTAATGTGCATCATCATAGGGATTTCATTTGCATGCTCTGTACTAATTGCAGTTTCCATTTGATTTAGAATAATTATGTCACATCCATTGTCCAGGATGAAGGATGTTTTGCCTATCTGCTTTGCTGTAATGCCAGATCTGTTCTGTTAGATTCAGCCACTGACCACACTTAACATCCTGCTTACAATGTCTTCACAGTAACCATGGCAGTGGTTTACATTCTCAAAGAGCAACCTGTGATTTGATTGTTATAGTTTTGAATTCAGAGTTTTCTTTTTTCTATAGTAACTGCCAGTCAAAACTAGAGGGCTCAGTCTACCCTACTATTTTACTCAAAGCTGGTGGAGGAGATGCATTCATGCCTCTCCTAGGGGTAGTTGTATGTAAATGAACCTAACCAATTTGACTGAAATTCAAATTTGTCTCTGTAATGTATTGGCATAGTATATTATAAACACCTTATTTTATCAGATTTTAATATTGTTAACAACCAAATCTCCTAAGAATCTACTTGAAAGAGTAGTTTTACAATTCATAAATGTAACAAAAATCCTTCTGATCTGTTCTGCTTTCCCAATACAGGTGAAATCATTTCTCTTGCTACAAATATAGTCCAACATGAGCTTCTCTTTTCCTTTCTTGTTAATAGATACTGCCAACTTCCACCTTCTTACAAAATCATAGAAATAATTATTGTTATAGTGTAATTTCAATGAAATTCACTATCAAAAGAATTTGAAACAGTTTTTTTTTTAACAATTTTAACTTTAATAATTGTTTCAAAAATTGTATTTATACTTTTGTGCAAATGAATTGAAACAACCGCTTTAGTTTCCTTTCTTTCACCATACAGTCAGTTTTAGACCCACTGAAGTGACAGGGTGTAATCGATTTCTATTTTTTCCTCAGATTAGGTCATTTTCAGTGGTGTGCAGAAATATGAATCTATTTTTGCAGTGTATGATGAAATTTGTTTGGCCTTGAAATATATTGCATCATCTGCGATTGCATCAGATTTATGTCACTCTTTTGTTTTGACTGTCAAATAGTTGTCCTATGGCCATTGTCTGCAATGGATGTTACTCCATGGAATTAAAAATTAGTAATTCTGCATGAACACACTGGCAAGCCTTACCAGTGAGCAAATCAAGGTACTATAGATTGGTTCAGAAACTCTCCTGATTTAAATCCAATCAAGAATCTGTAATAAACAACTTTTTGGAATGGATATACAAAATACTAACATGTGCACTGGGTCATGTTTCATTGGAAATATATGAAAAAAAGTATATAATAATGGAATTATTTATTTTGTTTCAATTAATTTGAACAAGGGTGTATGGAGATTTTTTAAAATTATCAGCTTAATATGAAAGTTGTTCCAGAATCAATTCTGCTGATTTTCTCAGATTTGGGAGAGTGGACTTTGGTCAAGGAATTTTCACTCACCACCTACGTAATGTACCATATTTGATAGCATATAAGATGCATTGGTGTATAAGATTCCTCCCAGTTTCAGCAGGGTAAATCAGTAAATAATGCCTCATGCTCATTTCCATTGAGAGCTAATGCTAAAAGATTTCACAACAATTTCTGGTCTAATATTTTCCAATGCTTTTCGTGCAGTGCTGAGTCTTTTTTATTCTTCCTGTAAGTGTAAGGTCATGCTCAGGCATTGCTATCCACATGTTCCATTGCACCTTCATGTTTTACTTGAATGGTCTATTCAAATATACATCCAGAGGTTGCAACTGACTCATTAGTCCACCAGGAGTAATCGCTATCTCTGTCTTCAATTCTGCCACTTTCTTTTTAATGGATTCACTCCTATGCACTCGGAAGTGATCCCAAACCAGAAGAGAGGGCTTTCGTAACAGTCAGCTCATGGCCATAACTGAAGAACAGCTTTGTCCATACAGCCTTTTGGATGAAGATGAGCATGAACATGCACACCTTCTGATATTTTATCATTCGATGTAGTTTTTCTCTTAAAAATCAGAAAAGGAGGCAGTTTTGTGCCATCAGTGCAACATGCAAGAATGACCATATAATGGGTCTTCACATAGTTTGTGGTTTTTATTGTAATAGCCTTGGATCCCTTAATACTCACAGTTTTGTTTGATGGAACATCAAACATTAGTGGGACTTCATCCACATTTCCTCTCTGGCCAAGATCTTTTTTGAGCATGTATGACAAATTTAAGAAACTTTACTATTTTGTCATCATATTCAGCTGGCATTCTCAGCACAATTGATGTTTCTGTGCATCTTGACAAACCTTCCTCTTTCATAAAATGATAAAACCATCCTTCTGTTCCTATAAAGTTATGAATTCCCTTTTTGTTTGCTAATCTTCTAACTTTGTTCCTTATCATTTTCATACTAATGATTCTGCTGGTACTCCTCACATCTACAACCCATGTTTTAATTTCCTCTTCAATTTCAGACCAGTGTTGGGCTGGTTGGCAAAGGTTTCCTTTCTTCATTGCCTGTAGGTTATTTTCCTGCAACCTCCAGTAACATCATTTTTTCTGTAGGTGGAGGGCCAAAATATTTGGCAGCTGCTCTATTTCCATGCTCTTTAGCATAGTTTATTACATGAAGCTTGTATGCAACAGTGTAGCTTTACCTCTTTCTTGGTGTTGTCATATCTGAAGTCAAAAATTTTCCTTTATATGATCTATACCACCAGCATCTTGTAAATGTCTTAGTGGAATAATTAGGATATGAAAATTCTGATTGTATTTATGCCAATGCAACTGTAAGTTATCCCAAGAAAAATATTAATGAAACAAATATATTTGACAAATATATAATTTAAATTTATTGCATATAATTTTAGTGAAACAAAGTACTAATATTAAATGTGATGAAATTAATATAATGAATATTATCAATGATAACTCTTTTAATCTGTATAACAGCCTTTTAAATAATGACAATAGGTATATGAAAGTTACTCTAAAGTCTAAGCTAAGAGGAGTTGCCAGGTAGCTAATTTCGGACAACTATCACAAATTTTAAACTTAGATTTGACATATAAGATAAAGGGGAATCTTAAAAGATAATTTTAGTGAAAAAAAGTGCACATTGCATGCCATCAAATACAGTAGTTTGTTTTTGATTAAATAATTGTTTTTATTTCAGTTCTGGAAAAGTTATTCCAAATATATTTGGACAAGGGCAAGGTGTCATCTGGCTTGATGATCTCAATTGTACTGGCTCAGAAGTTGAACTTGAAATTTGTTCCAATCTTTCTTGGGGAACTCATAACTGTGGACACAGTGAGGATGTTGCTATTAAATGTATCAAAAAAGTAAATGCAACCACAGGTATGACACCAACTTTCTCGACAGACCAAAATGGTAAGTAACTTGTCTATCTGATTAATTCAGGAAGTGTTTTGACTTATATTCTCATCCTTCCAAGAATTATTTAGACTATTGATGTTATTTTATTTGTTCTTATTATTAAATATTAGCTCATCCAGTTTCCTTCAGATGTTTGGAAGAAAGTGGGAGGTATTTTTTATCATTGAACAATTCCAATGTTAGTACATGATCTCTTCCTATCCTGTTGGCAAGGATTAGAATAGCCATCCAAAAAATGAGGAAATTTTTAGTTGGCTATTTGCAGATATAACTATAAATCTCAGTAATATACACCAATTTGACACTAGTGCAAAACAGATCCTATTCTCTACTATTCTGAGAATATGTCTTACTTTACTGCCAGACTCCTCCTTGTCTACTGTTTTTGACATTTTTATAAGTTCTGTCCTATAAGACTTATATTCAATATTATTGTTATTCTATCAGAAAATGTTGATATGTCATTACATAAAATAACTTGATCAAAATTTTAAAGCTTCATCCTTTGTATAGGTCACAAATAATAAATATGAATCATTAATGAAGTATAAAATACCAAATTTCTCTTTTCATTTTCTTTTTGAAAAATAATGTACAACTGATTTTCTATAGAAAAAATTGTTACCAATGAATTTCCGTCATAAAAGTACTTGCAATGCATCATGGGTTTGCACTGACAATGAATAATTTTAAATTTCAAATTTATATATGCAAAAAAATTGGGATTTTGGAATAATTTTTTGTCTTGCATATATATATATATATATATATATATATATATATATATATATATATATATATATATATATATATATATATATGTGAAAAAAAAAATATATAGAAAATAGGGAAAGAACTCGTTAGGTAAATAATCCAATGTTCTTTAGTATTTTTGTTATTATTTTTTAAAAATAGTGCTTGATACAAAAGTAGAGCATAAATATAATTATTTATTTAAAACTATGATTCCAACATGCTACATAAGAGTTCTCATGTTTCAAAACAAGAGCTGAAAACTTTAAAGTACTACGCTGTTAACTGCTACATACTGTTCTCACATTGTAACTGCATGCAATTTTCTTCCTTTCTGAGAACTTATCACTGCAGACTTTATATATATTCATGTGATCAAACTATTTCTGACTATTTGTACACATTTAGACACACAGTCTTTGAAGAATTCAGGCCACTTTGGTATATTTCTTCTTTCAATTCTTTTTTATCATTCAGATTAACCGAGTTTGAAGTTTGTATATATCTCTTTTTTAATTTCACCCTTTTCATTTTCAATATACCTGCTAATGGAGAGGACTTCATCTTCTGATTTTTGATTGCCATAAGGTGTTTCACTAACTATCTGATGTAGGAACCCATGCAAGATGGATGATGGCTGGGAGGCAAAACGGATATATTTAGTTATCTGAATTTGTACAAATATACACACACACGTTTTGTATGAGCTTCTCTAGAAATGCACTATCATATCTTTTTAGTTGTATGTTTATATTGCAACAATATGGAACTAACAATATGAGGCATATTGTTAGCAATACAAACTAAAAAGATAATCATCAAATATATTTTCTTCAATTTCTTTGTTATTGTTCTTTGTAAGGTGGTCAAGATTTTCTCCTACAAAATCTTTGTACGTTTGTTATTTCTATCTGTTTTTGCTACCTGAAAAGAAATAAACAATTGCAAATCTCCAATATCTATGTTTAAATGCATGCATCAATTTTCACAGGTCTCGTTCTCTTTTTGTGTTTTCTCTTTTTCTCTGCAGCCACCAGAATCCAGCTCGTTGATGGCCCATCAGAAATCAGTGGTAGAATTGAAATCACTCGTGAAAGAACAAAAGGAAGTGTCTGTGATGATGAATTTGATGATAATGATGCAAAAGTTATTTGTAGAATGATGGGATTCAGGTAATTTTGAGTTTTAAGATTTTTACATATTTTTCTTTAGATAAATAAGTAATTATATAATGCAAATAATGAGTGCAACAATATTGTTTAGAAACTCAAATCATTTCTACATATATTTACTATTGTTAAAATATTTTAGCTGATCCATTCTCCAGCCCTTATAAGGTGTAATCTATGAGCATCAACTTAACCATTTCTCAATAAAATATGATAAGTGTAGAGTGGGCAAACAGTGCATTTCTAAGCAAAGGAATTGCTGTACCATTGTCTTTTTCATTTCTACTCACCCCTGTCACAAAACTTTTTAAATGTCTGATATATGTCATATCATTGAGCACTCTTACTCCTTAAAATGATGCTCCCTTTTATCTGGGCCTCATTCCACAGAATGTTATGTAACCCAGGCCAGGGGATTGCTTCCCATTTCTCATAGTTAAATCTAGCCTCTTCCATGTTCGATCAGAATAACTGAGAAAAACCATTGCTTATGGTCTAATTACATCAGTTTTAATTTTTAATAAAGCCCTTGAGAAATTGTTTATGTATTTAATTTTTATGATAATTTTAAAATTTAAGTCTAGATTATTTTTATGAGTATGTGGTAAAAAAATTCTCATCTAATTCAAGAAGTAATTTCAAAATCAGTTTTTGTCAGTCAGTTTTTTAAGATAATTTAGACCAAGAATTTACAGTACTTAAATCCATAATGTAATTTTTTAAAAATAAACTTTGATTTCAGTACTGGAGAAGAAATTTCAAATATATTTGGAAATGGGGAAGGTGTCATCTGGCTTGATAACCTCAATTGTACTGGATCAGAAGATGAAGTTGAAATTTGTCCCAATCTTTCTTGGGGAAAGCATAACTGTGGACATGGTGAGGATGTTGCCATTAAATGTTTCAAAGGAGCAAATACAATCTTATCATCAATCACAAGTATACCTCCAACTTCCACAACAGACCAAAATTGTAAGTCAGCAGTTTTTCTGATTAATTCATTAATTCCTTCTGATTTTTGTCATTGAAGAGAGATATTCAGCAGTAAATAAAAATAAAATTAATTGTTATTGTAAAACTAATAGGCAGAAATGCTTGTCTATACATTTCAGTAATAAACTTGTGGTCAATGTACTTCTATAATATGAATATTATATTTCTATAATATGAATATTTGTCAGTGCATTGCTATGTTTTAATAACTTGCAATGTATTTATATAGTAAATTAATCGTAATATATTTCTGCAGTAAAATGTTTGGCATTATGTTCCTATAAGCCATACCCTTAGCAAAATTTGGGGCAATGAATTCCTGTAATAATCATTATTTATAATGCAATCCCATAATAACAGTCAAATAAAATTGTAAGCATAATGCAAAAGTTTTTATATTGGAACATAAAGCCAATTATAATAGCATTGTCCCTTTTTGGATTCCATTTATCTCAAATAACCTCAGTGTGAAAGTAACTTGTTTAATCTGTTTTATGGTCTTAATTGTCACTCTTGTATATATAATTTCAGTTTTCAGGGCAAAATTAAATACTGTAAACTGTAGGGAGACAGTAGTTAAGAGGATGTATTAAAACATTACTGACTTTATCCACTGATGTCTGTCAGGGTGGGGCTTATGAGCTAGTTAGAAAAGGTAGACATAGTAATAATAAATATAAATGGCAGTTGGCAAATCTGATTGTTAGAGAAAAAAGAATTTCCATTTCAAAATTATGATTTCCAGTTTAAGCAGACTATTCCATTTTTCCATCTTCATGGAAAGTAGGCTTCTCTCTCTCTCTCTCTCTCTCTCTCTCTCTATCTCATGGAACATATATTTTATTAAAAACATGTTGTGCCACTGGAGAATATGTGTGTTCTCTTTGGCTTCTTCAGTTTGATAATGAAAGAAAGAGAAAGATTGGGTGAAAAAAAAATTTGGCTTTCTTTCATTATGAAAAAGCAAAAGAGAACACACGTGTACAATTTGTACAAAATTAGTTGACAGGATAATTTGGTAAATTAACTGATTAAATATATTTAGAAATAAAATATCTGGTGTCCCTGTGGTATCCAGAGAAATTTTTGTTGAGAATAAAATCTAATATTAAATATCTACTCTTCTGTGGGACAATCTTTTCTTTTAACATAACCTGTTATATACAAAAATGACATTTTAATATATTTAGAGATCCTAGTTTCAAGGTCTGGCAAGTTATCTTTGGCATTCCATTTCATCCAGCAAATGTTTGCATTTTGTGTCATTATAGCCTGGATCACAGTTATACTCTTTGACATCAACATTTAATTTAAGAAGTAGTTTTTCAATATGAAATTTTTCAGTAACATATGCACCTCCAGAATTTTGTCATAGTTTTCCAAATTCATTTTCTAAATAGACTGTGGTATATTCACCAAGCATAACAAAATTAAACCCACTACTTTGCAAATATCTACAAACATCAATTAAGCCATTGCATATATGTTCAATGGCTAAACTAGTATCTGTTGTAAATGATTTCATTCTTTTTACTTGATTTCCTCCCATTCCTTTTTGTCATTTTTCCAGAATCAGAAAAAAATAACAGATGTTCATTATCTAAATCTGATGTTACCTTTTTCAATGGAACATTTTTCTTAGTGTCACCATATATTTCTTTGAAACAGACAATATTCCAAAATTTTATAACATTTTCAATGAAATTAACTGTTTCTGTATTATCCTCCCCATTTAATAATGAGTGCATTTTAATGGCACCTGCAGTTTAATCACAAAAAACTTTTAAACAATGGTAAACAGTTTGTCGCTCATCAGGTTTTGCCTAAACTGCTACATCAGTTAGTTTCGACAGCTTAATGAATTGATTTTTTTCATGCCCAAAAAGACCTTTTACAATTTCCCATTTTGCTGTCATCTTTATGCCTCAGAATAAAACAATAATTCAGAAGTAGGTTCAGTAATCCAATTATTGTCAATATTTTTAAAAAGTTTGGCATAATCAAAAAGTAAGTAGAATCCATTTTTAGTTCTCCAAAGCTTATTACAAACAATGTCAAAATTTTGGGAAAAAAAGCTTGATTGGGCCTGTTATTGTCATATACAATTGCAATTACTAAATATAAAATATTTTCATATACAAAAGTTGCCTCTAATTTTGCCACTGGGAACATCTTAAATTGTTGAGTTAGTAGCCATGGTCAAAAGATATAACAGGACTCTCCAAAAAACAGTATTAATAAAGTTTGCAATAAAAAAATAAGAGAAACATGAAATAATATGAAGTAAGCAAGTAAACAATATATGCAAAGCAAATTAACAAGAAGGCAAAATGTTCACAAACTATGAATTGGCTTCTACACACAAAAGCAATGTCAGACAAGCAAAGGCAATGGTCTGTCTTCTCGACATGGCAGATCTGAACTGAGTCATGTCAAAATGTAGTTAAGCCTATTTTATTGGCAAAGAAAAATATCCCAGCATGCATTTGTGGAATTCTGCCTATTGTTGTGCCATCGTCACACTTCATTGTTGATGTTCCTATGAAGCATGCAGATTTAATTTTGGAAGGAAGTATTAGGGATGTCTTTCCTAGCATTACCATCACCCTCACCCTGAGTCTTTGCTTACCTGGTGATTGATTCATAATGTGCTATATCTCAATGACGTAACCTTCAGATGTGGCTGGGTGATTTGCCCGACTGTCATTGGTGTGACTTTGGTTTAGAAGAAATGGTTTTACCCAACTTCTACCATTGTCTTCAGGTGTACCCTTTCTGGGGCTATGATGACTCATATTGCTTCCGATCAGCTTGTGTCCATTGATCTCACATACACCTGTGACAATGTGTTGCCCACCGTTCTCTGGCAAGAATGGTAGTATGGGCATCACAAATGGCGGGAATCTTGTAATATGAGCATTATTTTCATCAGGATCTGACTGGATTCTTTGGGCATCAGCTTAGAATGAAGATCAGATCTGATAGAAAGTGTTTGATATCAATAGATTTCAGTGAAAGATGGGTCTCTGTAGTGAGCCTGGTTCATGTGAATGGAGGTAGACTTGATTTTCTCTTTTTAAGTCCCCTTGAAAACAACAGGGCAGTTTCCTGTGAACCTTCCCCTGATTAATTTTTCTGAAAGGCAAAAGTAAGTCTATTTTTGTCCACATATTGTCCAGTTCTATACCATTTTTTGTCATTTGTTTTCATGGAATATCTTAGTGTTACTTGTGACCTTTTTGTTGTCAGTTCTGGTGAGGAAACCCCTCCATTATAGCAGATTCTCCTCAAGTGCAGTCAGCATCAGCACCTGCTGCAGTATCAGCATCGGCCGCTAGTAGGCCAATGAAAAAGAGCCTGGAGAACTACATGGTTCTCCAGGAAAAGCTTCTGCCCTATACGAAGGAAAATTAATGATTGACCATCCCATTGTGACAGCTTCCATTAAAGCATGCATAGCCACGGGGGATTATGTAAATATGGGAAAACTTCATGGTGATCCCAGAAATACTATCCTTTTGGGGTTGCAACTTCCTTCTCATTGTGGAATGTCATTGCCCCTGCTGCTGGTCCTGTGTTGCCGCAAGGCACTTGTCAAAGATAGGTCCAGCAATAATAGCAGCAGCTCGAGCAGACATAGCAACTGCTAGCACTGGTGGCGTTGGCACAACTAGATTTGTATATGGAAGTGGAAGTGATGCCTCCACCTTGATCTTTCTTACTGAAAAGCGAGAGGAAAGAAGAGGTAGAGAAAGTGTGAAAAAAAGAAAGAGACCTGGTCAAAGTAGGGTAGAGAAGACCCTGGTGAAGGCCAAGATCCAATCCACTCCTGCTTCACCAGTAAGAACCGAAAGGAACCAACAGCCATGTAAGGCTCAGTGCCTCCCCCTTTCCCTTTCTAGGGCTTTGTTTTCTCCTTCCCTGAACCCTGAGGGGCTTGAGAATTTGGAGTAAAGCTGCCTGCTTGCTTCATGAACTTGTCCTTTGGTGTAGATGTGTCCTTGATGCAGGAGACACACTTTGTTTGTGATGTTGATGCTTGTGTACTGTCTTACAACTTTCTTGTCTATTCAGCAAATAAGAACCTGCTGAGCAGAGGTTTTTTTTCTGGTTAAACATACTCTGAGTGTGAAGGTGGACCTTATCCATGTTGATGCAGGGGGGCCAGGTGATTGTAGCCGATAGTGCCATGAGCAATATTTTGTTTTGGATTATTCAATTTATGCACCCAGTGATCAGATGAAGTATGTCCCTGGTGGATTTGTCATGCTTACTCTTAATAGGGGATTGGAATGCCATCCTGCACCCAAAATTAGACAGGGCATGGGTAGCTAGTGGGAGGGCGGGAAATTGTAGCTTAGTTGATCTGATTGGCAAGTTTGGGCTCATTGCTAGATACCAGGTCAGTCAATGAAAGGGGGAGATATGGACTTGGGCTCCTCTACCTGGGTCATCACTACCTGGATAGGATATTAATAGGAAGGGTCGATCTAGATTTGCTAGATTGTTCCACTGTCCACTGGTTAGGCTGTTCCGACCATAGACTTGTCCATACCCAAATGGTATTAAGTGTTAGGTCTAGAATGGCTGGATACTGAAAGCTCAATCTATCTTTACTTGACAAGTGGGACTTCTGGATGTAGCTGACTAAATTAGGGTAGCGGGAATTAGTGAGGGGATTATTTGGAATAAGTGGTGGGTGAGGCTTAAGGATAACATTAGGACTTTTACCACCAAATATTGCCAATGTCTCACCTTAGATAAAGCTAACAAGTTGAAGTCTCTTAAGAATAGTCTAATCTGGGCAGAAGCTAGAGGGGACTCCTTAGATAGAGTTTTAGCCAGATGGGCTCTGGAATGTAAGGCTAGCAAGTGCTACTAGGGTTATGTTTATAGGCAAACAAGATGTCTAACAAAGCTGTGAATACACAGAATTGCCCAAGGAAGTGATCCATTAAGGTTCTGATCAACACATTCGGGATGTCAATACCCTGGAGGGGCATACTCTGAGTTTGACCAAAAACATGTGTAAGGTGTTTCAACAACCTTTTCAAGATCTGTTTTAACAAGGATTGGTCTCTATGATGAAGAGTTTTGCAACTATTTGGCTGAATTTCCTAGGCCTGAGCTAATTGAAGCAGCTAGTTGCAAAGCTGAGATTGCAGAGGGTTAAGATAACTTGGCAATGAAGAGGGTCAACAGTGGCAAATCTCCTGGACTTGATGGTCTGCCCTACAAACTGTACTTGAGGCTGTTGCACATCATCGTTTCAATTTTGCCAGCTATGTTTAACAACTGGTTTTGGCAGGGCTCCATCCTGATTAAATCTCCAGGGGATGTGATCACAATGTGAATTGTCATGAGCTTGTTGGGACCTGAGCAGACTTGTGCTATGAAGGGATGAACAATTCAACTTGCATCTGATCTGCATGATCATATAGGGTGTAGAAGACAATGATGAAGGTGTGCTGATCAATTTGGATCCATCCAAGACATTCGACAAGGTTGACCATCAGTACCTGACTACTGCCCTGTGGTACAGGTAAATGGAAAGCAGTAATTTTTTTGAACTATCATGGACAGTTTGACAAGTTTGTTTTTTGTCACCCCTACTTTACACTTTGGCATTGGTGACCCTCTTTCATTGGCTAAAGGACAGGGCATGCATTCTGGCTCTACATGAAATTCCTGTCCTTGGAGATTCTCCAGCCAGGGCTTCTGCATACACTGATGATTTATTCATTTTCATGTCATGTCACAACAAAATTGAGAAGGCACTTGAATGCTATGAGAAGGTAACAGGGGCCAAGATTAACTGCAACATCTTTCAGGACCCTTTACTTGAACAGACAGACCCATTCACATATTGGAGTATGGTTCAGGCCCAGACTCCAGCTAAAGAAGTACTTGGTACTCACTACCAAAGTGGTGAATATTCTCCATATTTATTGAGATGAGAAGGCTCAGAAGTATTGGGAACTTTTCCCTCCAAAATTGTTATAAACTTTCTTAGCCCTTATATTCTTAAGTTTGATAAGAATCAAAGTTTTGGGTGCTGCTTTTTGGAAACAAGGTTCTGACAAGTTGTGGGTATTACACCCACCTCACCTCCCATTTTAATGGCACCCTGTTCAGGGCAAGGAAGGTCAGATTCCTTTTTATATTTTCCAGCTCTCTCATTTCTCAGAAAATATATTCTTATCTCAGATAAGGATCAAGGCTTTGAGAGTGGAATTTGAAAGCAAGGAAAAAAGTTTAGGCAAAGATCAGAAAAGAAGCTAGAATGTGAACTTGTAAAACATTGTAGTAATTGTTCTCAGATTAAATTCTAATACCTGCTATATATCAAAGCATTCTTGATTCTGCTTTATATTGGGAGATTCTCAATTCTTGGTAAAGTTCAAAACAGAATCTGCAATGTTACTGGTCCAAACCCAGTATCCCAGCTTTAGTCACTTTCAAACCACCATAGTCTAGCTTCCTGTACATTTTCTTCAATTGCTCTCATGGTAATTATTCTGATGAACTTTCTTCAATGGTGCCTAAACTTGATAAATTTAAGCACAGTACTAGATTGCTGACAAGGTCAAATCATTTTACTGTTGAATTGGCTAGATTTAACTGTGAGTAACTTTACTAACAACCTGACTTCTGACTTCTTACTTTCCTGCCAATTTTCATCTTCAAAAATTTCAATGAAATGTCAGTTATTATCTACTGTCTTTTTGATTCCACTTCTTTTATAGTTTTCACTCCTTAATAATGTTTTTCTTTATCTTATATTTAAAACATTACTTATTCTTTAACAGCCCTTGTATTATTCTTTCACACACAGTAACTAACCCCTTGTGTTTTCGTGACTTCATTGCCCGCTTGTGAGAAATTGTTGCAGCAGGCCGAGAGGTGTGAGTGCCAATCGACCGTACAACTAAAAAGGGGACACAAAGGCGAGGAGATGGCAATAGCAAAGAAGGATGACAAACACAGATGGTCCGTTGTAGACGATGGAAATCGTGTCTTTATTAGCGAACGGTGGATGGTAACAAGACAGAGGTCGTTTGTTCGGGAACGGTGTCCGGACGATAACAGGCGCTGGTCGTCAGTGGGCACTGGATTAGGTCATCAGTGGGTGCTAGAATAGGTAGCGGGACGTCAGTAGAACGCCGCAGGGGTGAGCTGGAGGCCGCTGGAAGCTGTTGAGGTGAGCTGGATGCTGCAGGAGTGCTGGAAGCTGCAAGAGTGCTGGAAGCTGCAGGAGTGAGCTGAAGGCTGCAGGAGTGAGGTGGATGCTGCAGGAGTGAGCTGGAAGCTGCAGGAGTGCTGGAAGTTGCAGGAGTGCTGGCGTCACAGAGGGAAGGCAGTAGCGAAGAGTGAAGTGAGTTGAGCCTTGAAGGGTGTGATCGAATGACATTCGGAAGTTAGCCCTGAAAAGGACTGTTTGAACAACTGCTGCTACTGCTGCTGGGTCCCGTCAGCTGCTGGGCTTGGTCGACTTGACTGGGCGCGTCGAATCAGGGGAGGCTTCCTGCGGCTCAGGGATTTACTTCTCCACTCCAAGATGTGGCACAAGGTCGTTTTTCATTTACTTGACTCCCGGGGTCAAGAGGTCAAGTTGTTTTTTGTGGGAAAAGGTCGTTTTTTAGGGTCACTGGTCAAAGATTGATCATCACATGTCCAGGCTGGGTCAATGTTTTGGTCATAACATGTCCAAGCTGGTGACTTAGTCAAGTTCAAGCTTGTCTTAGCAGGTTGATATGGTCCAAACTAGGAAAACCCAGCCCAAGGCCAGCTGTTTCGGTATTTACTTGACTCACACAAGGTCAAGATGTGACACTAGTCGTTTTTCGTGGGATTGATCAGGGGTCAAGACATGTCCAAGGTCATTTTTTCATGGTTTCAAGGGTACTGGTCAAAGATTGAAAAATGTTTTGGTCAATTAGTCAATGTTTTGGTCATAACATGTCCAAGCTGCTCAAAGCTTAGTCAAGTTCTGGTCTTGGCTTGTCTTAGCAGGTCCTGATATGGTCCAAACTAGACTTTGCCATGGTCGCAACCCAGCCCGAAGGCCAGGCTGCTCCCCGGGCCGGCGGTATTTACTTGACTCCCACGAGGTCAAGATGTGACACAAGGTCGTTTTTCGTGGGATTACTTGACTCAGGGAGGCTTCCTGCTCCCCGGGCAGGCTAAAAACTGCTGCGAAGTCTCGGGCATCTAGATATGACTGTTCATACAACAAGAAAGCGGTGACGCTAAACAAGTAAATGAATATAATTAATTTCGGGCCGTATTAATTACAGTCAAAAGTGTGTTCGGTGTTTGTTGATTGTATTTAAATTAATTTCGGTTCAAAATAAAAGGTTTTTTATTTTTGTTTAGTGGCGAAAATTGAGTTTGTGTGTTTCTGACAGTTTGAAAGGATGTCGTTGCTATTTTTAGCACACAAGGGCCGTGACCTTTCTCTACCGGACGGCATATCCGGGGTTGTTTAAGAAAAGGTGGGAGTGGTGTTTGGGCACACTGCGACAAAATAAGTAAAAAAGAAAGGTGTTTATTTTCACTTACTTTTTCTGTTACATCTTTTTCTCTGCAGCTGTCAGAATCCAGCTTATTGATGGCTCATCAGAAATCAGTGGAAGAATTGAAATCACTCGTAAAGGAGTCAAAGGAACTGTCTGTGATGACCACTTTGATAACAATGATGCAAAAGTTATTTGTAGAATGATGGGATACAGGTAATTTTGATTTTTAATATTTTTGATGAGTAATAGAACAAATTTCAACTTGGAACTAATTTCAACTCAATTTAAATACCCTAAACCTAACTCTCACTCTAATAGTTTTGAGGTAAAATTAGTTCCATGTTGAAATTCTGCACCCCTCTTTAATTGATCCGTTCTCTAATCCTCTTAGGTTTCATTTCTCCATTGCTCAAATATGTTCTTGCATATTTATTATTATTAACAGAATATTTTGCCTGATCTATTCTCCAGCCCTCATTAGGTGCAATCCATGAAAACAAAGGAAACCTCTTCATCAAGAGAATAACAAACTAACTACAAAAATTACTGCTCATGTCTATACCGTCTGGTCTGGTCTATTTCTGCAGCATTAGGTGCCTCAGGAACCCTTATGATCAGATAATATAATACATCGAGTCCCTTCCCTAACCCTTCATTTGTAAGCATCTTCTTCCTGGTGCAGTTAAGATGTGGCATCATAGGGGTTTCCGTTGTCCTACTCTGCATTCTTGCAGTTTCCATCTGATTTAGAATAATTTTCACATCCATTGTCCAGTACAAAAGATGCTTTGCATGCCAGTATTACAGTTATGACATGTCTGTTCTGTTACATTCTAGCAATGACCATTCTCAACATCATGCTACCAAAGTCTTCACTATAATTTAACTCTGCATGACATCGTCTATCTTTCCAAGGCCCAGATTAGACTTATTAGATCCTGCCCTATGACTGGTATCATAGGGCAGGATCACACTCTTGGTGAGAAAATATTTTCTACCCAGCAACCCCTCTCTCACAGACAAACTGTCGCAAGCCTTTCACTGCTCTATTGCTACTTCCATGGAAAGTTGTTGGATGAACTAAAATTGCTTATTTCCACCAGTTCTAAACTTAATGGCTAGGATATGCTATGCACATTGTAGTGAACCACCCCCGTTCGCTCTGTATGACATTGGTGAGAAGTAAGTTCCACTTGAACAGCTTTTTCCCTCTCACCACTGCACCATAGACCCAGCTCCCAAGAGGATGTTTTACTGACAACTACAATCTTAACTTGTGCAAGTCTAGGGTTAACTGTTATCTTGTGCATAAGTCTTTTACTTACTCGAAAACCCTCTATCTTCACTGGCTCCGGATCTTTGAACCCCTGCAGCAGAAAAAAATCTTTTGGTACTTTTTTTCCAAAGGGAAACTTGTGATTTGATCATTAGAGTTTTTAATTGGTAATTACCAACTACAGCGAGAGATTCAGTCTGTCCTGATATTTAACCCATAACATTGAAGATGGATTCATATCTTTCCCAAATGTATTTTCAAAAAACAAATCTAACAAATGACTAAACTTGGCTCAATGATGGACTGCTATCCATCATACCACCTGCATATCCAAACATTGGCATAGTATGTTGTAAATACCACATTTTGTCAGACTTTGATATTGTAAACAACCAAACCTACTAAGAATCTACTTGACAGAGCAGTTTTACAATTAAACAGCACATTATTGTAACACAAACAAATCCTTTCGATCTCTTCTGTTTGCCCACTTACATTTGAAATATTTTCTCTCACAACACATATAGTCCAGCAGGAGGATCTCTTCCCTTTCTTGTTGAGAAATGCTGCCTACTTTCACCTCCTTAGAAAATCATAAAACAACTATTGTTATGGGGTAATTCAATCAACTTCACTATCAAAACATTTGAAACATTTTTTACAATTTTAACTTTCATAATTCTTTTAAATATTATTTATATATATTTGGAGATTTTAAAAAGTTATCAGCTTAATTGAAAGGTGTTCTACAGGATAACCAAAAAAGTTCTGTCCATTTTAAAAGGAAAAAAGAAAATGCTTCACAGTATGTGTAACTTATATTTCGTCTTTGAAGTAATTGCCATCGGCATCCAGCACCTTCTGCCAACATGTCTGCAGCTGTTCAATGCCCTTGCGTTAGAACTCGGGGTGTTTTGACACAAAGAAGTCCATGAGGGCTTTTTGCACAAGTCTGCTTCATTTGTGAAGAATTTCCCACGAAGATGATTATCCAGGGAGTGGAAGAGGTGGTAATCGGATGGCGCAAAGGTCAGGTGAATAAGGTGGATGTCACAAAGTTTTTCCCACCCAAGTTGCTGTATGGTATCCCTGACCAGTCGCACGACATGCGGCCTGACATTGTCATGGAGGAGAAGCACACCTTGGCGATTCACCAGTGCTGGCTTCTGGTGCAATGCCTGTTGCACACATTTCAATTGCTGCGAGTATCGGTCTCCAGTGACCATTTGGCCCGTTGATAGCAGTTCATAATAAACCACTTGACAACCTGTCCACCAGACACAAAGCATAATCTTGCATGGGTGCATAGGTGGTCTTGTGGTGTGAGGGACAACATCCTGAGGAGACAGCCAATGTCTGGAATGCTTGGGAGTTTTGTACAGAACCCACTTTTCATCACTGGTAGGCACTCGACTGAATAAGGACACGGTATGATGGCAAGAAAGCAGCGATATGCAGGCTGCCACTCGTCCCTTGTGGAACTCCAACAGCATTTGTGGAACCCACTTGCTCAGTTTGTATGTCTTACCTAGGAAGTGCAGGTGAAGTCTAATTGTTTCATTGGAAAAGTTGAACTGTCTTCACCACATGTTAGACTACTGTCCTCTTCAATGGCCCCCTTCAGGACTCTGTCATTCAAGCCCTGTGGTTGTCCACTGTGAGACTCATCATGGAGAGATAAATCTCTTGACTTGAATTTTCAAAACCAACGCCTTGCAGTACATTCATCCACAGCACTATCCCCAAACGCTTGACATATGCAGCGACTTGATGCAGCAGCTGATAAGCCCACTTTGAAGTCGTAAAGCAAACAAGACATGAGATCTCTAGACACTTCCATCTTTCTCACAGCTGTCCGACTTATAACTGATGGCCGGGTACAGTACGCATGTTTTTTATAACGTCTGATGTTCCTACTTCTGGCTGTCTGAATTTGAAAATAATTGCTACATGCATTTTGTATATATTTGAACTTCATTCAATGACTAATCAAAAAATGGACTGAACTTTTTTGGTTACCTTATAGAATCAATTCTAGTAATTTAGTCAAATTTTGGAGAATGGGGTAAGGTCAAGAAGCTTTCACCCAAACACCTATATAATGTATTTTGTTTGTTTGTTTTTAAATAAATTTTTCATTTTAGTTCTGAGAAGTAGTTCCAAATATATTTGGACAAGGGCAAGGTGTCATCTGGCTTGATGATCTTAATTGTACTGGCTCAGAAGTTGAACTTGAAATTTGTTCCAATCTTTCTTGGGGAAAGCATAACTGTGGACACAATGAGGATGTTGCCATTAAATGTTTCAATGTAGTAAATACACTTGGAAGTATAACTCCAACTTCATCAACAGACCAAAATGGTAAGTAAACTGTTTTTTGATTACCATATTTGATGACATATAAAGGCATTTTTTTTTTTTCACTAAAAATATCTTTTAAAATTCCCCAGCATTTTATATGTCATATGAAGGTTTAAAATTTGTGATAGTTGATATTAACTACATGACAACTCCTATTTGCTAATACTTTAGAGTAACTTTCATATACCTATTGTCATTATTTAAAAGGCTATTATGCAAATTAAAAGTGTTACCATTGATAATATACATTATATTTTTTTTAATCACATTTAATAATAGTACTTTGTTTCACTAAAATTATATGCAATAACTTCAAATTACATATTTGTAAAATATATTTGTTTCATTAGTATTTTTCTTGCGATAACTTCCGGCTGTATTGATATAAATACAATCAGAATTTTATATCCTAATTATTCCAATATGATGTTTACAATATGTAGGTTGTACAGATTATATAAAGGATTTAAATAACAAAGTTTTTATAGGCTCATCTCCTTTTATATTTTTCATTTAATTGTGATTACAGCTTGTTTAACCAAAATAATACCTCATAAATATAGCCTAGGCTTACTCAGATTTTCATAGAACAACAATCATCAGGCTGATATAATCTGGAACCAATAGCTATAACATGATTTATATACAGGGGGGAGGGGTGTATTTAGTAACTCGGATGTATAATTTTAATTAAGTACTTATTCTTATGCTGATATGTGGCTATAAGCTTGTGTCTCTTATTCAACAGCCAGTCACCCTTTTGCCATAGGATTATCAATTTTCACTTAGCCACAAATTTCTGCCTTCTCCAACTCCGTTATATGTTCTGGCTTTAGCCAATATTTTCCATGCTATAGTTGATGATTCTCTTCCATTGCTAATGGTATCCAGATAGTAGGCAGAAAAGAGAAGTGCGACCTTTGTATTTTCTGTTTAAAAGTGAAGTCTTGATTATTTTAATTATACATTTATCCTTATATTTTTCTTTGTTTATTATATTATAATTGTTATTATATTAGTATGAATTTATAGTCTTTAATTATTATAATACATATTTCTTTGCTTTGTTTTTAAGATAAATCAAGGTATACATCAATTGAAAAAAGTGTTTTAGCACTCATTAAGAATTATTATATTACGCACAATTTTTGTTAAATTACTTACCGATCTGCATGAATAATTTTACTCTATTTTTAATATGGAAGCCTAACATTTTTCTTTTTTAAGAAAGATGACATAATTTTCAAAATTGTAAGAAAATCATTTTGAGTCATAATGTTTGCTTTGTTTATCTTTGACTATTGCTTCATTATCGTAGATTTCTTTCCGTATCATTTGTCATTCAAATATTTTAAAAATTAAACAAGATTTGCCAATAGTTTTATTCTATTATACTTTAATTTATTGACTGTAAAATATGTAACATAACATTTTTATAGATGCAGATGCATTTTCAAATTTATAGGAAATATGTTTCATGCCATTTCATTTTATTTACTTCATTATCTTTTTTCTGTTTTATTTTTGTTTGTTTTTTTAATATTGGTTCAGAATAGTTAATTTCACCTCTATTTTTCATCTGGTAAATATTTTTAACAACAGGAATAATAAAAAATGTTCTCATATAATTGATGATGATTTTATACTTTTAATTTTTTTTATTTATTGTTTTGTTTCTATTATTGTCCATAAACAAAGTAACATTTGATAACAAAGTGTTTATTCTGACATCCAGTATAAAATATATATGTGTGACTATATGTATAACTCTAATGGTCACTCCATGTTGTGATGGAAAAGCTTTCATAGTCTAATATCTCTGAGATCAATGCCATCAGGAGTTTTAAACTCCTGCTAGTGCCACTCTTGGCAGCAAGATCAAAGACAAAAAACTCAAGAGTAAGTGAAACTAACCCCAAAGATCCCAACAGTTTAATCAGCAGATGAAGACATGCTACAGAAGGCAGCACTTCAAATTATAACATAGTTAGCAGCAGTCTATTGCAGTTTCATGGATTCAACATGACTCATTCCATATGTGCTGGCAAGGAATGTCACGAAATCAGGTATGTGGGTCACTTGCTGGCAAATTGAGGTCCACCTGAAACAAATTCATGCCATCATCACATTGTTCTACTCTTCTTTTTCTTTCATCTTCAACCAACTGTTGCAAAACCAAATCGTGATAGTGAATGGATGACGAAAGCAGGTTTTGGTAAAACTGGAAGCTTCTAACCATGAACCTGCACCTGCGTGGTGAATGTTGTCATCATCACCATCACCTTTAGGAAGTGTTCAACAAAGAAGAAATTAAATTCTTGGATACAAGATAAAGTTGGCAACTGAAAAGACCATCATTAAGACGAATTAATTTTCTTCAATTTCCAACTTATCATTGTTTCTAAGGTGATCAAGATTTTCTCCTACAATATCTTTCTTATTTCTTTCTGTTTTTGTCACCTGAAAAGAAATAAACAATTGCAAATCTCCAGTACCTAAGATTAAATGGATGCATGAATTTTCATAGGTCCCACTTTCTTTTTGTGTTTTCTCTTTTTCTCTGCAGCCATCAGAATCCAGCTCGTTAATGGCTCATCAGAAATCAGTGGTAGAATTGAAATAACTCGTGGGGGAACAATAGGAAGTATCTGTGATGATGAATTTGATGACAATGATGCAAAAGTTATTTGTAGAATGATGGGATACAGGTAATTTTGAATTTTAATATTTTTACATATTTTTTTCTTTAGATAAATAAGTAATTATATAATGCAAATAATGAGTGCAACAATATTGTTTGGAAACTCAAATGAGTTTTACATATGCTTACTATTGTTAAAATATTTTAGCTGATCCATTCTCCAACCCTTATAAGGTGTAATCTATGAGCATCAACTAAACCGTTTCTCAATAAAATATGATAAGTGTAGAGTGGGCAAACAGTGCAAAGGAATCCTTGTACCATTATCTTTTTAATTTCTATTTGCCCCTCTAACACAACCTTTTAAATGTCTGATATATGTCATTTTATTGAGCTCTCTTACTCCTTAAATTGATGCTCCCTATTATCTGCACCTCATCCCATAGAATATAATTTGCCCCAGGCTAGGGGATCAATTCTACAAATATAGCCTCTTCCATGTCCTATCGACACAACTGAACAACCATTGCTTATTGTCAACACTAATTTTACAAAATCACTTGAAATATTTTTTTATGTGTTTTAATTTTTTATAATAATTTTAAAATTTAAGTCTAGATTATTCTCATCTGATTGAAGAAGTAACTTCAAAAATCAATTCAGATTTTCAAAAATAATTCAGACCAAGAATTTACAGTCTTTAATTCCATAATGTAATTTTTAAAGATAAATTTTGGATTTCAGTACTGGAGAAGAAATTCCAAATATATTTGGAGATGGGGAAGGTGTCATCTGGCTTGATAACCTCAATTGTACTGGATCAGAATATGGAGTTGAAATGTGTCCCAATCTTTCTTGGGGAAAGCATAATTGTAAACACTCTGAGGATGTTGCCATCAAATGTTTCAAAAAAGGTAAATACAACCTTATCATCAGCCACAAATATACCTCCAACTTGAACAAGAAACCAAAATTGTAAGTCAGCTGCTTTTCAAATTAATTCATTAATTCCTACTGATTTTTGTCCTTTAAGAGAGATATTCAGCAGTAAGTAAACAAAGAAGAGTTGATATGTCAATAAATTAACCATCCTGTCCTTTGAAACTGATGTAAGGAAACAGCTTATCTCTTTTTGTTGGAGTAGGTCATGCAGCTCACATGATGGCCACTTTGTGATGCCACTTGATATAGTCACCAAAGTGGCAGTTATTCTAATTTTCTCTTCTAAACATATTGTCCAGTTGAGGGAAAATTCAGATCTACTAAGGTGATGCAAAAAGAGAAAATTAGAATAATAAAATTCAATAATCAAAGCAAACTATTAAATCAAAGAATGAATTTGTTTTAAAATGTCGTCATAGAATCAGTTGAAAAAGACTATACTCATGAGGTAATTGTGGATTTCTTTATTGTGTAATTTATATGCTCTGTTATAGTAAATACATCAATCTCTTTTTGTGGGTCAGTTCTAATATTTTATATTATTAGGATCCACTTAGATGATATACCAACTGATTCAGTACCTGTACTTTATATACATATATAAAGTTTTCATTTTATTCTTAAATGTTATAATTTTTATGACAGTTTCTAACAACCTCTATAAGTCTTAAACCTGGGTATAAATTGAATTTAACCCTTTAAATGCTTTTCCACATTCAGCCAGGTGTATGAAACAATTTTTTTTACTTCAAACTGTATTTTTCTTGAATGCTTCATATTGCATTCTATATTGTATTCTGTTGCAGCTCAGTTGCCATAATGATATCTGCTCTCTCACTGTTTGATGTATCAGTGAGTTGAAGGAGGAAGGGGTGATGACTTTGCTCTGCTTCTGCCTATGAGGCACCTCTCTGCCAAAAATGCACACATTCATTATTTTATGCATGACTAAACCCCCAAATCTCAGAAGACTATATAAGGGCAAAGTTAAAAGTTGCCACTTCTTGCCTTTTGCCAGAAAATCTATTTTTTATTTCTAAAATCAGATGGAAATTAAACATCTGCTGCATTTTATCACTTGTATACATTATTTTTAGTTCTAAAATAAAATACAGTGTATCAATAAAATAAATGTACATATATAAATATGTCAAAATGTTTATTTTGATTATTTTCATTTTAATTTCCAACATATCTATGGAAATTTAAGAAAGAACCTGTAACAGTAAACTTAAACAATTACAAGTTTCATAGAGCTATGGCTTGTAAAGCAGTGAAAGAAGCCAAAAAAGAATGTTGGTAAAAATATGTCAACAACCTAAACTCAAAATCAGTATGAGAAATATTTACGTCAACAACTTGAAAATACTAAACTATACCAATGAAGGATCTTTTAAAAAATAACAACATCATAACCAATAAAAAAATGACATAGTAGATGCACTAGCTGAAACTATTTTAAAAATTGCTTGTGCTCATCAAAATTCCTAGTTCTAAAAGAAAACACAGAAAAATATAAACTCAGTTTTACATCTAGCAACCCAGAAAGCCCAGTGGTGTAGTTAAGGCGGAGGTTGGGGGAGTGGTGCGGACCGCCCTGGGTGCCAGCACAGGAAGGGTGACACAATGTCACCTCCAACAAAATTTTTCAACCAGGCTAAGGTGCCAAAAATATTCTAAAAACAGTGGTGGAGACACAGGGTTTCGCAGGCGGGCATATGACCCCCAAGTTTTGTCACCCATCAGAAATTTTATAATAAATTGTTGAAAA